CCCTCACCCCCCTCTTCCTCTGCCAGTGGTGCCCCTGACATTGGAGGCAGAACATAGACATCATGCTAGTTTCATCCTCCATGAATCTGTCTTTTAAAGCCATCCAAGCTGATGGCCAATGCAACTGAAAAATATCAAAATCAGTTAACACAATCTACAGTAGAAAGAAGAGGGTGGGTCCTAAAACATGTATTTTCCACCTTCAAAGAAAAGAGTAGACATCTACTCTGACTGCCTAGGCTTTGGCAATGGGGCTAATTGCAAGTGAGCTCTGGAAGTACCCATGCACAGAGACACTTAGACAGAACCCAGCGAATCAATGTATTGGTCAGGAGGGGAGAGGCAATGTCTGACAAACAGTTCTCACCTCCAGACAAATTGTTTAATGACAGATAGAATCCTTGCTGACATATTTTCATACAGGCATTTTTTTTAAAAGTACAAAACCTGGAGTACTGAATTTAGGATCTGAAAAATTAGATATTGAGAGGAACCAAAACTAATGGATTGATCTGTCCCTAGAAAAGAACCCATCTCCCTAGCTTTGTAGCTTCTCATTGGCAGAAGATTTTTGATTTGTGGAGCATTCAGTCATGCATGTGTTGTCAATTTGCTGCCAAGCCAGGTATGTGTTAATCTGCAAAAAGCCTAAGCAACTTAAGCCTAAAGTACTTTAAGGACTACCTGAACCCTTTTGTGCCACCTCAGTCCCCGAGAGCCTTCGATGGGGCACTTAGAATCATAAAATGGTAGAGTTGGAAGGTACCCCAAAGGTCAAGTAGCCCAACAGCCTGCAATGAAGGAACCACAGCCAAAGAACCCCAGACAAATGGCCACCCAACCTCTCTTTAAAAACCTCCAATGAAGGAGAGTCCACCACCTTCTGGGGGAGACCGTTCCACTGTCAAACAGTTCTTACTGTCATAAATTTCTCCCTGTTGTTTAGTTGAGTGTTTCCCAAAGTGGGTGATACCGCCCCCTGGAGGGCACTGGAACAGTCCAGGGGTACTGTAGTAGCCTTGGGTACAATTGGGGGGTGCTGAATAAAAATAAGGGGGCCTAGGCCACCTCCTTGCCCAATTTTGAAAAACCATTTATACATGTTACATCTGTTGTGTAATGGCACTTACTGATGTGTCTTATTTACAACATCTTTCTTTACTGTGTCGTAGGACATAGGTACAAGTATAGAAACATAAAAGAGTGTAAATTTGTCACTGCATTGTTCTGTTTGTTTGCTTAAATAAGGTGGATTTCCATGGGGTGCTGTGTATTTATTTTTTCTTCTGAAAAGGGGGTGGTAGGCAAAATAAGTTTGGGAGCCTCTGCTTTAGTTAGAATATCCTTTATCATCTTGGTCACCCCCATCTGTACATATTCCCGTTTGTCAATATGCTTCTTAAACTGTGTTGCCCAGAACTGGACACAACACGCCATGTGGGGTCTGATAAGGGCAGAATAGCATGGAACTATTATTTCCTTTGATATGGATGCTAAACTTCTGTTGATGCAGCCTAGAACTGTAACTAGCCTATTTTGCTCCTGCATCACACTGTTTGCTCACATTAAGTTTGTCAACTACTTATTGTGGTTCCCAATATGGCAGAGGTTTGGTTGGCCTTTACTAGGAATTGAGCCTCTACAGTGGCAGGCCCTGCCCTGTGGATCTCTCTGCCAGTAGAGATTCAGCAGGAATAAAAAGCAGCATTATTCCAGACAGGCCTTTGAGATGTGAATTTCTTTTTACAAACTTGTATTTATTGATGGTTGTTTTCTTTTTCTTTTTAATGTTTTATTGATTGTTTTATCTTACTGCAATTTTGTGTGCTGCATAACGTCTTGCTGTATTTTTATGAAATGGAGATCTATAACAAATGAAACAAACAAACATTCCCCTGTCCCTACCCCCAACCCTCCAGCTTGGTCTTCTGAATGTGCTGATCTGCCTTTCGTTGTGTATTCCAATACACAATATGGTCCCAAGCGACTCAGTGTAGCCTGGTTCTGTATTCAGCAAACACTTACCCTATAAACAACACGTCCATCGTAAACTCTTATTATCATTCTCCCAGCTGCTCTCAGGCTTTCAGAACCCCATTATGATAATACAAAAAAAGAAAGAAGAATCTTAGGACAGTGTGATTTGAGGCAGAAGTATATTTACACTGTGAATTGTTTGTCAAGGACCCACAGAGAGAGGAAGGGGAGGGAGGGAGGGAGGGAGAGAAAGATACCTGTGCAGTCATTTTCAGGAGCAAACTGATTCTCCCCTACCTTTTGTTCCTTAATTTAAAGCTGTAGCTTCTGAAATCCAGGCTAATATTGACATTGTCCTAAGCTTTCGCTTCTTTCCCCAGTCATAAGGACCTTGAGCAATGTCCTTGTTTACTTCACTTTAAGCAGAAAAGAAGATCAGCCACTGGATCAGATCAAAGACCCATTTAGACCAGCAACATGTCCTCAGAGCACCCCAGCAGATGCTTCTTACTGGGACGCCCACAAACAGACCATGGATGCCACAGCACTAAATACCAGATAATGAGGGCTGAGGTGTTGAGCTGGTTAATTCATTGGATTATTCCACTGAACACATTTTGATTAACTTGATTAGCAGATTAGAAGGTGATTAATAATAATAATAGTACTTATTAAAGGGGGAAGGCTGTGGGTGGCAACAGTCATTTTGGAAGAAGAATTCTACATTTTAGAAGAGGCATTCTCCTTTTCTAATTCATTATGTTATTTATTTATTTATTTCACAAATTAATACAGCGCTGGATTATAATAAAACCTCAAAGTTGTTTACAAAAAGAGTATGAGTTACAAGCATTATAAAACAACTATTCAAAACATTCAAAACTATTTAAAATCAACAATAAGTTAAAAAGCAGATCAAAACACAATAAAACACTTCTTTTCAAAAACGTATTTGCTAAAATGAACAAATAAACACTGCCCTTGGGGAAAGTCATATATTTTTGTTTGTTTGTTGTTTATATCCTGTACAATGTCTCAGGAAGCAACTCTGTTTCCACAAAGCACCTGAATAGGGAACCATTGGTTACCTCCCATTAAAACAGAAGTGTGACAGCCATACTGTTGGTAGGGATGGGGACCACGTCTGCTCCAGGCCTATGGCTACATACCCCTCACCAAAAAATAATAATCTTATTCCCTCTTCCTTTTACTAGGCATAGACAATATAGAACCTTGAATAAATAAAGGAGCCTGCTCTCTGCTTCCCATTACTCTCTCTCTGCTTCCCATTTATTATTGTTAGTAATACACAATTCAACTCATTTTTGTTTCATTTTCAGCAAGTCATGGATTGACCCAGAAGATGGGAGCAGTTATGGGGTTTGGCCCATGAGGCAGGAACCAGGGCAGAGGAAAGGTCAGAGCCCTCAGAGATGGAGAAGGGCACACAGGTCATATCAGAGGTGGAGGAAGAGACTGTTCAGGTGAGGGATGGGCCAGTGGATGTAGCTTCTGAAATGCTATCCTTAGGGCAGGGAAAGGGAACCTCTGGACCTCTGGACCTCCAGGTGCTGTTGCACTACAATTCTCATCATACTTGATCACTAGCCATGCTGGCTGGGGCTGATGGGAGGCAAAGTGAAGGGCAACATGTTCCTCTTCCCCCTCTTAAAGATTCCACACCACATACACAGATAATTTCCCCAAGGATAAAGGCTAAATTCTTTTATTAGGGTCATCCAACCAGAACATTCCCCTGTCCCCCACCCACTGACCCTGCACATCCTCCAGAATTTTACTGATCAGAACAGTGACACCTTGGTAGCATCCCTATTACCATGCCAAGGTCTCTACCCTGCACCCTGAAATATCATTATACACATTGTTGAAGGCTCTACTCTACCTTGTGCATTGATATACTCAGCAATAGGCTGCAACCCATGAATTTATAAGCCAAAGGTGTGTTTGTTCATCAGAGTAAAGATATACTATGGAGGAGTGAGTGATAATATGGTATCAACAGTTCAAAAATATACCTCAGCAGCTGGGTGTGCAAAACAGTAGCTTCCCACTAAAAGTTCATGTTCATGTTTTTATATCCATGCTAGAAACAGGGAGCCATTCCCCTCCACACACACACATACTAGGGATTATGGGGAGGGTGCTGAACCATGGAGGATAAGCAACAGCAGGAGGTACTGCCCACTAGACTGGTGGGGCAGAAAGCAGCTCTAGATAAACCAGAGCATATTACAGGCAGAAGGCTCTGCTTGACCTCCCCATCCTCCTCTCTGCTGAGTTCTACAAGTGGGATAACACAGAGACTGTGGAGGAGGAAGCTGGCAGGCAGTGCTCCCCCCTGGACAGGTTGTAAACCAGAAAGCAGGCAAGTGGGGTCAAGTTGAGGGCTCACAGAGGTTGGTGGGGCCATGCTCCATTTGCCCAAATGGACTAGCCCCCACTGAAAACTTATAAATGGCATCCCCAAAGGCAAAGAAATGGGGAGGGAAAGAAACATAAATTCAACCAAGTCAAGGAATAGAGACTGCCCCCAGTAAATAAGGACATTTGTAGTGCATCACATTGCTTCCCAGATGGAAATTATTCAAGGCTCAATAAAGTAACCCTTCATAACATTTGTTCTCAAACATTGCCTTCAATTGGTGCAGGGAGGGCCCTACAATGAGGCAGAGTGAGGCATCTGCCTCAGTTGGCAGATGCTGAGGGGCAGAGAGTGGATGGAGCTGAGAGTGGCCTGCCTTGTACACTTTATGTTTTCCTGCTGCCCTCAACTGCAGTGGAAGTCACTGTCCTTTCACCAGTATTGGAGTACAATTCCACTACCTATCCAGTTGCTTTCTGCATGTGCCTTGGTGGAGCGTACCATCTTGTCCTTTGCCTCAGCCAGCAAAGCGTCAGCCCTGACTTGGTGGCTGGCTCACAGCAACAGAAAAATTGAGATATGGCCCTAGCCTGCTAACATTAACCTACTAACATTAGCTTCAGTTCTTCCTTGTCCATGTTTAGCCATTAAGCAAGGCTGACCGCAGCTGTCTCAGGAATATATGCCGGTTCAACTCAGAGTCCTTCCACACCAAATAGGTGTTCCTCCGCAAGTAGCGGAACAGGCCCAACTTCCGCTGCAGAACTGCTTTGTCCGTCCCATCTAGGACAACCCAGATCATACTGGCTTTGCTGTCCAGCAGCTGCCAAGACTGAGCTACCTCAAGCTCAAAGTTACACCATCGGCTCTCCAGGAAGTGACTAGAGACAACAGTGATGACTTTCCGGCTGCTCTGGAAGCCTTGTTTGATAATGTTGGTGATGACAGGCACTCCAGGGATGAAATCACGATAGAAGAAGCAGAGGCGGAAACTAGGCACTCCCATTTCTAGAGTTTCCTCCAACTCCCGTCTCACCCACTCCTGGTCTCTGCTGGAGTAAATGACAAAAGCATCGTAGACATTGTCCTCCTCAGCAGAGCGACGGCGTCCACCAAGCAACACTGCCAAATAATACAGGTGAAAATAGTACTTATAAACCAGAATCAAAGATAAGACTAGAACCACAGAAATGGTCATTGAGATAGCCACTGTGGCTGTACTGACACTGCAAGAAGCTAGGTCAAAATTCATCAGACGGGCATCTCTTAAGTGCTTGGGGCTGTGGCAGATCATGTTTTCAACATGCCAGAGGAGGTTCCTGTTCCCTTTGGCCCACTGCAAGAAATGCAAGTTCTCACAGGAGCAATCAAAAAGATTCTGAGAGAGGTCCAGATTCTTCAGGCTGCTGGGCAAATTCTGTAGATCCTTCTCTGTTAAAACAGACAACTGGTTGCTATGGAAATCCAGGATAGTGAGGGCTTGGAGGTGGACATAGGCCTCTGGATGGAGGCCCAGGAGCTTGTTATGACTGATGTTCAGTTCGCGGAGCTCATGGAGGCTGGCTAGGCTGTTAAGGGAGAGATACTGCAGCCGACAATTGGAAATGTCCAAGATTCGCAGACTGCTGAGGTTCTTTAAGGTGTTAAGCAACTTATTGTTTTCAAAGGTGTTGCCAGCCATTTTCAGCACTTGCAGACTTTTCAACCCACAAAATGTACATTCTGACTGAATATTTGTCTGGGTGTGTGAAATATCAAGGTAGATGAGATTTGGAAGGCACAGAAAAACAGGGACCTCTCCTGCTCCACTGAGTGTGGTATGTTGTAAATCCATCATTTCCAGTTTGGGGAGGCCATAGCACTCAGGCTCTAAACTGATTCTAACATTGAAGCTAAGATTCAAATACTTCAAATTTGGAACCCCTTTTCTGAGGCAGAGCCAGCAAAGGTCAGCAGTAAGCGCATTCTGACTGAGATCCAGGGCCTCGAGCTTCTGCAGTCCCTGAAAGTCCTCTTTAAATACAACAAGCTGTTTGGTGCGGGTGATGTGAAGCGATCTTAGCTCCTTCAAGGAAGACAACCTCACTGAAGGCACCTGTCTAAATCTGGAGTCCTTGAATTCAAGATGGCGTATGCTTGAGTTTTCTGGGAAATTTGACACGTCTTTTATGTAGGTATCTACCAGTCGTATAGTGGAGAAGTTGTTCAAGCAAAGAGAGAGGTCATCTGTATTATCAACATCACCATTAGTGGAGATGAGAGTTATCTCCTGCAAGCGCATATGACATAGGGCATCCAAGATACCTTTACTGAAAGTCTGCAGCTTCTTAATGTTCCTATATTCTCCTAACACTAAACTGTTGGCATATAAACCAGTCAGATTCTGAAGGCTGGCTTGCATAATGGTGCTACTCTCAAAGCAGCCTCTCAAAGATAGTTTCTGAAGGTGAAGTCCTGCAATGGCATTTACCTCAATATGTTTTATGTCATTCTTAGATAGCACAAGTGTGAGGTTCTGGCTTGACAGTGCATCCAAATCTCCTACCGAAATGGAAGATATCTTGTTTGCTTGGAGGTTCAAAAACTTTAGAAATAGTAGGCGGGAAAAATATTCAGGAAGCTTCAGTGAATCAATGTAGTTGTTTCCCAGATTCAGTTCTTGGAGAGATGTCAATTGTCCAATGGGCAGGTTGTCCAGGGAGTATAGTTCAGTTTGTACAGCTACCAGTCTTTTCAAGGATGTCAAATCATGAAAAGCTCTTGCACCCAGGAAATGGAGAGGATTGGCAGTCAGGATCAAGACAGAAAGATTACAGAGACCAGCAAAGGCATTGTCTTCGATATTCTGGATGTTGCATCTATTGTTGGGGAAAAAGAAGAGAATCTGAAAACAGGGGCTGCTCATGGGCTCCATGCAGCCATCAACCTCTTTAAGCTCATGGGCACATTTGGACTTTTTGGGAAATGCTGAGGCTGTCATTCCCTCTGGTTCCATCTCTTAACCTTCCACAAACAGAGAAAATGTGTATGTGTATGCGTATGTGTATGTGTACATCCCCCCTTCACTATTCCAAAGTATCTGGACAAAGTTCAGATCCATCAGAATTAATCTGAACCTTGAAAAATTCATAGAGCTGAAAGAGCAACTGGGAAATGATGTCATTCTTCCAAATTCATTTCTTTGTACTTTTCAAGGGAGATAAGGGTAATCCCTGTCACTACTCATGACCAAGGAGGCAGTGTTTGGAGGTGGGGGTGTAAAATATTCTGCATCAACAGAAGTATAATGTCCAGATCAGCTGACATCATAGTCCCGCTCTATTCAGCCTTGGTCAGAACAAGCTGGAATACTGTGTACAGTTTTGGGTGCCACAATTTAAGAAGGATATTGATAAGCTGAAACGTCTGCAGAGGAAGGCAACCAAGATGGTCAAGGGTCTGGAAACTGAGCCTTATGAAGGAGAAGAGTGAGAGGAGATATGATAGCCATCTTCAAATATCTAAAGAGCTGTCCCAAGGAAGATGGAGCACAAAATGAGGATTGTCTGTACAAGCAGGCCACCATTTTATTGCACCATTTTATTTTATGTAGGGTTGGGAGGGACCCCCAGGATCATCTAGTGACTAGTCCAAACCCTTGCAATTCAGGAAAACTCCAAAGGGAAGTCCTTTGGATCACTGCCTTTTCCTCTGCGAGGCTATGCATGGGATTAGTCCAGAGGCTCCAGCTGCAGGGAAACCAACTGCCAACATTTAACACCTGGCTTGGGGGATTTGCACTGGCTGCCATTTGGCTACTGGGCCAAGTTCAAGGTGTTGGTAGTAATGTATGATGCCTTATACAGCCCAGGACCAGGTCACTTGAGAGGTTGCCTTATCCCTTATCTGCCCAGCAGATCAGGACTGTTTGTGGGATAATTTAGCTTTCAAACTCAAAAAATCTCAGAAGCCCCCTCAAACAATAAGTTTTGTTGGTTGAAGCAGTGCTCATAATGATGAAGCATTATTCCAGATGCATTGTTGTGGTGGGGAGTGGGATTATTAGTAATAATAATACCCACCAATCTGGTTGGATTTTCCCAGCCACTCTGGGTGGCTTACAGCATATATTGAAACATAGCAAGCTGGTCCCCACTGGCCTGTGGGAGCATCCAATTTTTCCCTTCTATTATGCTCCTGAGATTGAAACACCGCTGAGGTGTGTCATTGTTCTCTTTGAGCTAATGGTTGAAAACTAGCCATGGCTTGTAGTAGTAGCAAATACGGGATCTTGGAGGAGGTTGAATTCCTGTGCCACCACCAGGATTATATACTTCCACACACACCAGAAATTAGTGGAATTTACCCTCACCACAAAGATAAGGCAAGCACTTGTTTGTCCTGCTCACAAACACCCCAACCAACTGTAAGGAGGAGCCCAGTCAGATAGGCAGGGTAGGTAAAGATAAAGGTACTTTGACCGTTAGGTCCAGTTGCGGACGACTTTGGGGTTACGTGCTTATCTCGCTCTGTAGGCCGAGGGAGCTGGCGTACAGCTTCCGGGTCATGTGGCCAGCATGACTAAGCTGCTTCTGGCAAAACCAGAGCAGAGCATGGAAATGCTGTTTACCTTCCCACCGGAGTGGTACCTATTTATCTACTTGCACTTTGACGTGCTTCCCAACTGCTAGGTTGGCAGGATCAGGGAACAAGCAATGGGAGCTCACCCCGTCGCGGGGATTCAAACCGCCAACTTTCTGATTGGCAAGCCCTAGGCTCTGTGGTTTATTATATCATAAATCATAATTCATAAATCTTAACTCATAATTCATAAAAAGCAATTCACAATTCATAATTTATAAATTATAAATCATGAATATCAAAAATATCATAAATACCATGATTCAGGAATCAGGAATCAGGAACCATAAATAAACCACAATTCATAATTCTTAATTCATAATTCATAAATATCATGAATCATGTCATAAAGTAATTCATAATTCATAAATATCAATAATAGTACATCATGATTCATGATTCATGATTCATGATTCATGATTCATAATTCATAATTCATAATTCATAATTCACGATTCATAATTCATGATTCATAATGCATAATTCATAAATACCATGAATCATGATTCGTAATTCATATTTCATAAATATCATGAATCAAAAATCATGAATCGTGATTCCTAATTCATAATTCATAAATATCGTGAATCCTAAATCATGAATTGTGATTCCTAATTCATAATTCATAAATATCGTGAATCCTAAATCATGAATCGTGATTCGTAATTCATGAATATCGTGAATCCTAAATCATGAATCGTGATTCCTAATTCCTAATTCATAAATATCGTGAATCCTAAATCATGAAACGTGATTCCTAATTCATAATTCATAAATATCGTGAATCCTAAATCATGAATCGTGATTCGTAATTCATAAATATCGTGAATCCTAAATCATGAATCGTGATTCGTAATTCGTAATTCATGAATATAGTGAATCCTAAATCATGAATCGTGATTCCTAATTCATAATTCATGAATATAGTGAATCCTAAATCATGAATCGTGATTCCTAATTCATAATTCATGAATATAGTGAATCCTAAATCATGAATCGTGATTCCTAATTCATAATTCGTGAATATCGTGAATCCTAAATCATGAATCGTGATTACTAATTCATAATTCGTGAATATCGTGAATCCTAAATCATGAATCGTGATTACTAATTCATAATTCGTAAATATAGTGAATCCCAAATCATGAATCGTGATTCCTAATTCATAATTCATGAATATAGTGAATCCTAAATCATGAATCGTGATTCCTAAATCATGAATCGTGATTTCTAATTCATAATTCGTGAATATCGTGAATCCTAAATCATGAATCGTGATTCCTAATTCATAATTAATAAATATCGTGAAACCTTAAAGGATGAATCGTGATTCGTAATTCATAATTCATAAATATCATGAATCCTAAATCATGAATCGTGATTCGTAATTCATAAATATCATAAGCATCGTGTTTTTCCGGCCAAGGGCCATATTCCTTTCCCGGCAACCTTCAAGCGGTGGATTAAGTGGTGAATGCAGAATTAGGGAGAGCAAAAGAATGTAAATTTTACCTTCTGCACAGTAGGCCTGTTTCTATACATTCACATGCCTCTTGCCTCCATCCAAGCAAGCAAGAAGCATTATCAAAGCTTAAGCACAATTTGCAGCTATACAAAAAACTTCTGGAGGGTGGAAAGCTGGGTCATGGGAAGAGTCCCAAGAACCATACAGACATGCCTGGAGACCCCCATCCCTGTAGCTTTATGTAGCAGATGCTGTAATGTTTGCACCAACTGTTACATTTGCACCAGCTTTGCATCTGTTATCGTTGGCTCTCAACATGACATGAAGCCAATTGGGCCAGTGGTCTCAGCAATAAAAATACACTACTTTACCTAGTGAGGTCCAGAAAATTCAGTGCGAAGAGTGGTGAGAAATAATTTGAGGTCAGGATTCCCAGTGGGTTGAAGCTGAGATCCAGGCTCTGGGCGGAATTTGGAATATCCGGTGGAATAGCACTGAGGTTCAGCTCCATGCATTTGTAAGTGATACCTGGGATCACCTGAAACATGAACAGGTCATTTCAATAAAACTGTGTTTATAAGGATGCTACAGAGAATGAGGAAGACATGCCTAATTGTTAGGAATGACCAAGCAACAATCTGCACAACAGTGGTCAGTGGGACAAGACTTACTACTTTACCTTCTGTCACAGCCATCACAATGACTTAACCAAGAGGGAGAGTGGGAAGGGCAAGGCAGTAAAGCACTGGGGCAGAAGTAGTGCTACAAACACATCATAGATTTAAAGACATTTAAAACACATGACTTCCCCTGGAAAATTCTGGGAAAAATAATTTAGCCTTCACAGAGCTACAATTCCCACCACCCTTAACAAACTAGTGTTCTGCAGGGGAAGTCATGTGCTTTACATCAGGCGCGCTGAGCTGGGCCCCACATGGGAGAGTTGTCGTGTATGCATGATGTCACACGCACAAGACAATGCCCCCCATAAGGCCACACCTGCCGGGACATGTAGGTGCCTGCCAGGATGCTCTGGTGACTGAGGCGGGTGTGTGTGGAGGGCATAAATCACCCGTCACCCTCACCCAGTGCTCACCCAAGGGTGACAGGGGATGGCATTCCCCTCAATATTGAGGGGGGGTTCTGCCCCCTGCCTTAAAATATTGAGGGGGCTGAAGCCCCATACCCGGCACCCCAGCTTGGAATGTACTTTAAATGTCGTATGCACAGCCTTGCTATTTCACTACAACCAGAATGAATCTGTGCTTTCTTTGGCCCCTTAGAATCCTCACTGATGGGCACTAGGAGAAACTGGGTACAAGAAGGCTTTAATATTTGCATAAACACACACACCCCTGTTTCCAACCACTTTGGTTTACAAAAGAAAAAAAACTCTAGCACTCTGAGTCAAGAGATTCAGAGATATCGGCAGGAGGAGAGAAAAGGTTCCAGAGGAAGGCTCAGTGGCAAAATACCTGCTTTGCATTCATGGAATCATAGAAATACAGAGTTAGAAAGAACTCAGAGTGTCATCTAGTCCAATCCCCAAGCAATGCAGAAAGTTCTAAATTCAATCCCTGGTATCTCCAGGCAGGACTGGGCAAGATTCCTCCCCTGAAATCCTGGAGACCTCCTGCCAGTCAATGTGGAAATTACTGAGCTAGATTGATCAGAGTGGTCTGAGTCAGTAAAAGCCAGCTTCCTACACCCCTATTTCACAGAGTCAAACCAGTACATTATGCCTTTGTGCGTGCTCACCCCACGTCATGGTGCCTAGAGTATCTAAGTGCAGCTGTGTTGTTCCGACAGCTGAGGCTGAAAATCCTACAGGTGCTTATCTCTCTTCTAATCACAGTAAGAAGGACAATTGACATTAAAAATCAGCTGCTTCACTCTGCCTAATGGCTGGCACTGTCCAGAGGAAACATCAGCTCATATTTCAAAAGCACACCTACCTCCAAGCAGGGGTTGAGGCTTCTGATTATCATCTGGGACTGGAAAAACACAGCCAAAGAGAATGTGATGATCAGTGAAGGGCAGAGGCAACCATTCCTGGGCATCTTCCAGTGGAAAGAAAGAAACACACAGTTTGAAGAGGGGGAAAAGAACATTAACAAAAGGAGAGTTGCATCGCCACATGAGGCCTAGTAAGAGCCATGAAGGGTAGAGAGCTGCGTCTAGAGAGACGCACTGGAAGAAGGAAGTGAAATTGAAAACAGAACAGCTCGGTGGCGTTCTCTTAGGCAGGGTTCGTGTTGCTGGTAAATGAAGTTAGGAAGGCATGGTGACCACAGAATGCCAAGAGGAAGTTGTGTTTTACCATGTGATTTCCCCTTAGCTGATTAGACCGTGGGTTAAGCTACACATTCTATGGAGTTCTGTCATTCTGTCCTCCACAGTTGTAGGCGGTGCTTCTGAATACCAGGAAAGGAGTGAGCTATTGTGCTTGAATGCTGTTTGCCCACAGACTTGGCCTCTGTCAGAACAGGATGCTGGACTAGATCACTCGTGGCCCTGATCCAGCAATTCTTACGTTCTTTCATTATGTACTGTGTTTCTTTCTTCCCTTCCTTTTGATGTATTCTTTAATAAATTTATGTGGTGTATTATTTAACAAATTACATTTTTAATTCCACATAATTACAAACATACATGAACAGGCATGCAACATACAATGCACTCATCATATTATGCAAATATATTATGTGATTTGTAGATCGCTTCTCAAGGGATTTACAAGACAATAAAACCTCTACAGAACAGTGTGTGTGTGGACACAGATACACATAACACATTTGTATATATGAGATCAATTATACAGATATAAATAGTGCTTGAAAGGAGCTAATTCAGATTAACTAACTCACTGAATTGATTAAAAAATCTTTGAATTACACCTGAAGTGGGTGAAGTAAACATGAATTTTGCAATGAAAGTTTTTTTGGGGGTATTAATTTCAGTTTTAGTTCAGTAATGTATGTATAGGGCATTCATCATACTTAGCTCTGTGTTTGACTGTGGCCATAGCAGTCAGCATTTTTACCAATCTGAAAAGTGATGTTGCTGTTTAAGCTTAAAGATCATAATTGTTAGAAAAATGAAACCACTTTTCACATTAGACTGTCTCTGTGTTTTGACATTTTTGGGGTTTTTTAAATAGTAAATTTTATTAGTATTTTTCACACAACAACAACAAAAGAAAAATAACAATACACAAAACACAAAAACAAGCATATGAAAAGCAATTCCAAATCTTACAAATTAATAATATAAACACTAAAAAGGAAAACAAACATTGACTTCCACCAATCCCACAACACCTCCTTTACCTCTCATTGTATCTTCCTGTTTTCCTGTTTTAATTATCATCTCTATCCTAGCATCTAGATATAAATCCCTCTTTCTTATCCTTTCACTTCAAAAGGTTATTCCAGACTCAGCCAGATTTCTGTCTTCGAACCTTGACTTTTAAGATATTCCTTTAGGCACTCCCATTCCGTTTTCACTTAACTTTTTGGTTTTTGTCTTATTAAATCTGTCAATTTGACTAATTCTAAATATTCTGAAAGCTTACATAAACATTCTCCCCTAGTGGGTAACTGATTCCCTTTCCAATACTCAGCCACCAGGATTCTTGCTGCAGGTGTCATGTATAAGAAAAATTAAGTTTTGTCTTTTGGAATATCGCCATTTAAAATTCCTAAAAGGAATACCTCTGGCCTTTTACTATATCTTAGCATTTTCTTTATTTCTTCATGGATCATGCTCCAGAATTTCCCAATTTTAGGGCATGTCCACCATATATGGTAAAGGGTTCTTTTTTGTTTCTTACATCTCCAGCACTTATTATTATATGTTTCATTCATTTTTGCCAGCCTTTCTGGTGCCAGATACCCCCTATGATGCATTTTCATATAGTTCTCTCTTATTAGGTAACATGCTGTGAAATTTATATTTTTTTGTCCACAGTCTTTCCCATTCATTATATACTGAGTGACATTTTTGTTAGTCTTCTTAAGTATATTTTAAACTTTAGAAGAGCAACTTGTAAAATTTTGAAGGCTGAGGAGAAGATGCTAAGAACCAGGGGAATGAATTGTGAATTTAACTGGAACAAAATTTGTTGTTGTTGTTGTTTATTAAATTTGTATACCATCATTTATTCACAGATCAAGCTGAGTTTAGTCCTTTTTTGGAGAGCGCAAGTTTGACCAAGAACTAAATCCTTTTTGGAGGGGGCAAACTGAAACGGGAACTAATTTCTTATTAAAATAAACTTTCCAAGCACCGAGATAAACAAAAACACAATTTAGAGTAACAAAAGCAGCAACAGCTGCTGCAGGAGCAGAAGCAACAACAGCAAGGCCAGCTCAAGACTCCTGATGTCTTGATGGTGATTCCTGCCCTCATCAGGTAAGAAGAGATGAACATCAGGAACATAGGGAAAATTAAGATCTTCATTGGAAATAAGGGTGAATATCAAATTGGCCGTACCCAGCAGTTGAAGTGGGAATCAAAGGTAGTCACCAGGAATGGGGAGGCTGCTCTGAATTACACCAGGTGGGTGCAGACCCCAGGAGACCCCAGAGGGCAGCCCCCACCATTTCTTCCATAATGGTTGAAGGTGACCAGCAGCACCTTCTATTCACCAAGTGGTGGGCAATGCATTCATTGCAGGCTGGATCTGGTGTCCCAGTGGATGCTGACACTTGAGGTGGTCACCTCACTTTGTCTCATGGGTGGGCCAGCCATATCTATCTAAAACAAAACAGTAATATAATTTTTGCAGTCCAGTTGAGATCAAACCACAAAAGCAGCAAAGGAGAAAGTGGGGTATTAAAAACCCACTTTAAAATGTGTAGGACTGGAGCTTGCCCATTCTCACATGGAATTGAATCCCACAAATAAGGGGCCACCCCTAAATAGGCCAACTTTCTGCACTCCATCTGAGCAGAAATAAAGGCAGACAAGGAGAATCTGCTAGACACTTTCCCATATTGTTTTTCCAGCCCAATATTTGCTTCTTTTGTCTATTAAGACAATTTCTAATCCCACCTTTCTGCTTTAAAAAAGAACACTCTAGGCAGCTGACAGCAGAATGCTCAAATGAAAACAATCCTAAATATAGAAACAAATGCAAACCTAGAACTGTTAAAAACAGAAAGAGCATATAAAAACATTGTGTTCGAACATTCCCAGAGGGAGGATGCAAGGCAAGTGGTGGCTGTTGCTCAGTCTCCTCACTTTTGACATTGCTTGCATACTCAAAGAGGGCAGGCAAAGTTACTAAGTTCTTATAACATCCAATAGCGATGGAAGCAGTTCAGAAAGCTTGATTGAATTGCTGCTGCTAGGTGACTGATGAGAGCAAACCAAAGGCAGCTGCTCTCTTTGGAGAACCAATGGAATAACCCTGTTTCCCTTCCCTCCCTCTACCCTGCAGCCTGATGAATTAGGACTTGCTGATCAGAAGGTCGGCGGTTTGAATCCCCGTGACGGGGTGAGCTCCCGTTGCTCGGTCCCTGCTTCTGCCCACCTAGCAGTTCGAAAGCACATCAAGTGCAAGTAGATAAATTGGTACCTCTCTGGCGGGAAGGTAAAAGGCAAACCGTGCGCTGCTCTGGTTCACCAGAAGCGGCTTAGTCATGCTCAGCCAATGAAGCGAGATGAGTGCCGCAACCCCAGAGTCGGTCATGACTGGACCTAATGGTCAGGGGTCCCTTTACCTTTAGATGACAGTTGAGAGAGCCAAAGGCAGCTGGTCTGTCAGAAGAGCTGATGGAACAGCCCCTTTCCCCTTATGTTCCTCAGTTCTGCAGCCTGATGGAATGTCTGCTACTATGTAACAATTATTCTTAACTAATAATTTGATTTGGACCTGTTCTCTGTGGCCCATCTTTGCTCAAACCTGGGCTACAGCTGAAGCTTCCAAGCTACCTTCATGGCATCCTCATACCTATGAGTATTGCTGGTGTAAGTTCTTCCTTTGCAGACCTCCTTAACAGATCTTTCTTGCCGTGCTGTTACCTGATACATTTGCAAGAGAAAGAAGGGTCTGTCAAATACACTGGCCTTCCAGCAGACAACCCACATCCCACTTACACTACACCAGTGCAAGTAATGGGCACTGGGAAAATGTGTTAGGTAAGAATTTACTTCTATATTACTGGTCCTTGCCCAGGAGAAGGAAAACCTTTAAATAAACAAGAGACCAAAGAACAGCAAGCTAGCGTCCCCTGTAGGAACCCAGTTTATTAAAGCTACTGCAATAGGACAGCCAACCAGTTATTTAGTGAACCCTCAGTTAAAAAGGACTGCCATGAGACACATCAGAACAAAGCTTATACTGTACAGTGGTACCTTGGGTTACATACGCTTCAGGTTACAGACTCCACTAACCCAGAAATTGTGCTTCAGGTTAAGAACTTTGTTTCAGGATGAGAACAGAAATCGTGCTCTGGTGGCGCGGCAGCAGCAGGAGGCCCTATTAGCTAAAGTGGTGCTTCAGGTTAAGAACAGTTTCAGGCTAAGAACGGACCTCCAGAACGAATTAAGTACTTAACCTGAGGTACCACTGTACAGCAGTTTCAAACACAGCACACAAAGAGTCATAAAGCATTTTTTAATCTTTGTACATACATCAAGAAAGGCTACAGGTTATGCGATGTAAACATGCATGGCTCCATACTGATAATTTACCTTATTTATTTGGTCTCAACTTGCAACTCTGATAGTTGTCTTGGCAGCCAGACCTTCAGTGAGAAGGGAAGAGGGTCATAAATTCTTCTCCAATCTCCTCTTTCTGGGCCTTGGATAGCTTCAATGAGAAATGCTGGTTCTCACCCAGATGCTTACTCAGGCATAGGCAAACTCCGGCCCTCCAGATGTTTTGGGCTACAGTTCCCATCATCCCTGACCACTGGTCCTGTTAGTTAGGGATGATGGGAATTGTAGTCCCAAACATCTGGAGAGCCGGAGTTTACCTATGCCTGTGCTAACTCAACATTTACCTCTTTAGCAAAACATCATTTACCCTTCTAGGGTCAGATAAGGCTAGGAG